TCATAAGGCAACTGCAAAGCCTTGATTTAATGATGCAGACACCTGGCATCATCCTGCAGCATTTCCATGACCTTAAATCTTCCTCTTGAATTGATAGTTGCCCCACTGGAGACAACATATAGGAATCATACCACCACCACCCCAAAAAAACCCCCATACTTTTCCCCCAATGGGCAAATATTGAAAGCCATCTGAGATTAAAAATACATTGAGAGGGAAGAGTGAAATTCCCATCTCCCCATGCCAGAATCTCATTTCAAATTAGGACCTTTTGTGACTTCTATCTATGAAGGGAAAGGACACTGGAGATCCATGATCACACATTCACAGCATTTTGTCTGGTTTGATCCTCTCTTTAATATCCAACAAAAAAATTGTGATGAGGTACAACAGGGCATCACAACTTGTTACATACCAAGCCACATTCTGAGAACCCACCATCTATTGTGGCCTGCCAAAACTCAATAAGCTTGATTTTGCAATCTCAGACAAATAACAAAAAAATGGATGTTCACTTGGGGCAAGGATGCCATAGGTGGTAGGTGGGCTTGCAGTTTGGTTGGTCAGAAGTCATACAGGTCAGTTGTAGGATAAACCACATGTCAAAGAGCCTGTAGATATTTTGACACAAGGCATTCAAGACATCAGATGGTCAGCCAACAGAAATGTCACTGACATTGTTACATGGACTTGAAGATAAATAAAAAGGAACATCTGTCTATACATGCTAATTCACAAGAGTAAATAGGGTTCAGACAAATAAGCAAGTTCTACTGAATTAAGAACCAACCCACATTCTATCACAAATGGTGAATTTAAGAGCACCACAATCCAGATTTTAAAGTGGGTTGTTATAACAGTTGATTGTGACATAAATAAATATACCTGAGGCAGAGGTTTCAGAACAGCCCAATGAATTTGGTAAAATAACAAACCTCACTTTACTAACAGACCTTAAATGTCAACATGCACATGTGGTGCCACGCAGCAGAATATAAATGGAGTGCATATGCATTGTATGGCTCAATTTCTCCATAATACACACCAGAATGTGGTCCCAATCTGTTTACATAGAAAGCACCGTAAGTTTAAATGCAGCTATTTTCAATATGTAATTTTCAAAATGTGATTTTAAAAAAGAAAACACAAATACTTCTATGTGTCATTTATTGCAATCCTGTACACCATTAAGCTATTTAAGGGCAGTAAAGTAACAATCTCACTTAAATTCCTTTCTAAAGATTCTGTTTCTTAGCCTTTTACGACAAAAGGATAACTTCTTCATTTGGACAGGAATTTGGTTGGAATTCAGGTGTAAATTTGCCTCCATTGCAGACAGTGTGCCACTATACTTCAGGAGGAACCAAAAGGGCTTGCCATTCATTAAATAATTATATTAATAAATGCCCATTAAATTTAATGAAACTACCCCAATGTAAGTTGTCAATGTTATTCTCAGCCTCATTGGACTGGTTAAATTCAGGAAGCAAATGAATCCCCACCTTTACTCTGTTCCTTTAATCTGCCATATTTTCCTCCTCTATGGAGCTGCCCTAATTTGCACTGGTTGAGGCCTTTCCATTAGTCCAAAATTGCTGGAAAACAACCAGAACATCTAGTATGCTAAGGCTGTGCACAGCTGGTGAAAAAGAGGCTTTAACTACCTAATTTGCATGAGCAGTTGTGGTTTTAGCACACTCACTGATGGCTGGGCAAATTTTGCAGGCAGAATTCTAGAAGATGAAATAAAAGTTGACCTTGATTAAATACTGCAAGTCTTTCCGATGTTACCCAGGCATGTCCATTAAAGTATAATGTTAAAGTCAGTATTTTCTTTTGAACATATTTGTCCTGCTTGAGCAGCTCCATCACATATGGGTACAAAAGTTCATACATACATTCAGGGGTAGCACCCTCATCCTATGAGCTAGGAACACTTCGTGCTACCCAGGAGAGATTTTTTTTCACTGCACAGAAAATTCCAGAACTTAACAAGAAGAGGATCTGTTTGTACAATGTCCTGAATATGTATTAAGCCTGCCAAATGTAGGGGCATGTCCTGGTTGTCTGAATCATCCTGCTTCCGCATAATGGCTGTCATTCTGTTTTCTGAGGATTTCCTCAGCAACAGTCTAATGACTCAGTTAAGCGAGGCAACAAAAAGACATACATCATTTAGGCCAAGAGGGCACTTCAAAATTAGATGTTGAACATGGACACTGGTACCAGAGCTTGTAATAAACCCAGATGCCAGTTTGTTGCCACATCCATCCAGACTAAACATGTAATGAACAGACTGGCATACAAGACGCTAAATATATTCAAACATTATATCAATTATATTATTGATCGCAAGTAAATAACAATAAATGTGACAATAAATACAGTTGATGAAAATACATGATATTATTGTGATTATTAAGATACATGAAGTTATTGTGATTGTTGACAAGAACCTCCGGATTGAGTTCCGTTTAGTCTCTTTGTCCGAACAAATCTTCAATATAAAACAATTTACACAGCAAATATCAACATTAATATGTTTTCCATATTTTTTTTCAGAATATTTTTTCAGAATTTTTTACAAAGTTTTTTCAGAAAAAAGATCCATGGTTAAATACCTTCAATAAGGGTTTCAAACAGTCCCATTATTGTCCCATTCTAATCTTTCTAGCCGCAATTCCTGCGTGTCATACAAACATCTTCCAGTAGTATTAATCAATAATCTAAGGAAATACACAAATATTGTGTGCCCTATAAAATACTGGGCGCCCTATAAAATATTGTAAAGTAGATCTTCGCAAAATGTTTCTCAGAAGGGAGGCTTTTTGGATCCACAGATTAAAAACAGTACAACTTGGAGGCTCAAATGCTGCGTTAGACCTATCTTGTTTCTTATAAATGCTTTAAATTTCTGTTTGGATTATTTGGAGTATGAGCCCTGATAACATCCCTTGAAATAGCGCTTGCTGTTTAACAGTGTACCTTTAAGAAGTTCCCAACGGCAGAATGAAATGTATCTGCAATTGCTTTAAAGGAGTTCAAATGAACGTAAACCCAGGTGTTTCCGATTTAAATATCTCTGATGTAAATATCCATTTTGTCATATACATGGATTTAAGTTTTAATTGCTAAGATTAAATAGATAGGATGTATAGATGGCAATAGAACAATATATATGTTTGTATAGGAACTTAATTACAAGTAGGATAGATTGTGTTTGTGGTGTTTCCTTTCCCCACTCCTCCCCCCCTTCATTATTTTAGAAGAATGTGTCCTAAGTGTAGATTAGAACTTTGAAAGTATGTTAGTCACTTCTTGGAATGATGGAACAAGGCGCCTTTCAGTTGATTTTTGGAACGCCCGATGCAACGTGTATATGGAGAATGAGTGAGTAGCAGTGAAGATAGAGAAAGTAAATTAGAAATATTGAAATATAATGGATAAGTGTATAAATATTTGTGTATTCCCTTAGATTATTGATTAATACTACTGGAAGATGTTTGTATGACATGCAGGAATCATGGCTAGAAAGATTAGAATGGAACAATAATAGGACTGTTTGAAACCCTTATTGAAGGTATTCAACCATGGATCTTTTTTCTGAAAAAACTTTGTAAAAAGGTCTGGAAAAAAGTCTGGGAAAAACATATTAATGTTGATATTTGCTGTGTAAATTGTTTTATATTGAAGGTTTGTTCAGACAAAGAGATGAAATGGAACTCAATCTGGAGGTTCTTGTCAACAATCACAATAACTTCATGTATCTTAATAATCACAATAATTTCATGTATTTTCATCAACTGTATTTATTGTCACAATAATGTTATTTACTTAAGATCAATAATATAATTGATATAATGTTTGAATATATTTAGCATCTTGTATGCCACTCTGTTCATTCCATGTTTAGCCACCTTTGAACTAGATTCTCCACTTTAGTCTTGACATATATCCAGACGACACAATCTCTGGACCTAATAATATCAACTATTACATCTCAGGTTTATTCACATGCTCATCTTCTACTATTGTATATGCCATTAAATGCCAACAATGCCCTTCGGTTCTCTACACAGGGCAAACAGGTCAAACCCTACACCATAGGATAAATGACCACAAATCTGACATCAAGAATCACAAGGCTGAGAAACCTGTAGAAAAACACTTCAGCCTTCCAGGACATTCAATGGGTGACCTCAAAGCAGCTGTTGTATCCCAAAGGAACTTCAGGAACAGACTAGAAAGGGAAATTGCTGAGTTGCAAGTTATTACAACACTCAGAACAATGGAATCCCCAGGACTTAACAGGGATATTGGTTTCTTATCTCACTACATATGCTAACCTAATTCAGCCCTTACATCTGTATTCTCACCAATCCCCCAGAAGAGCCATACATCTTCTTTATTTTATGTTATTTCTTATTTGGAATAATAGATTAGAATAGTAGACTGCAATGTAATGTAATGAATAGTAAAATGTAATGTAATTTGGAATGGTAGATTGAAATGTATTTCCTTGGTCTGGGGACAGGGGAGATAACTCTACACAGCCAATCACCCTACTTCAAAGAAGATGCTGTAAGGTCGCCTCCATGCTTGAGAGGATACTCTCAGAATCCCACAATTAAGGATACATCTGCCCATCAATCTCCAATTTTGACATATTTATTTCCTTCACTATATTTTCCCCTGGAATTAAACCCAAATGAATGGTAACCATATAAACTAAGCTTGTTATTCCCGTTTGGTCCTTGAATCTGTTAAACATCTTCATTATGCTGTATGCTAATTTACTGCTCACCCTCTACCTATATGTACGGACTGGTAATCCATTTCATTGTAAATGAAGACGTGTGCATGCACACAAAAGCTTATACCTTGAATAAAACTTTGTTGGTCTTAAAGGTGCCACGGGACTCAAACTTTGTTCTGCTGCTTCAGACCAACATGGCTACCGACCTGAATCTATCTGCTTTAAAAATGAATAGATAACACACCTTTAATAAGGCTCTTTTCTTGCAAAGATTTTGAGTGATAAACTTCCTTAATCTGCTTTTAGCTTGGTTTCTATCAATTATGTCAGAAATGCTGTAGTTCAGTCTGAAAGCTGAAAGAAAATCAACAAAAAATGTAAGTAATGCTGCATTTTAACATGGAAAGCTGGAAATCTGTGGGAAACACTGACTATGTCTTATATCCAGCTGTCTGATGTGTTGGATGATCCAAAAAAGAATCTGATTAATATTATTATGAATAAACATTGTGAGTTGGAGTCATATTAGTACAGCTCATAAATTATTGGCCAAATATCAATAGATTTGTGTATGTATTAAATGAATCCCAAAGGTTCACATAGTTAGTAAACTTACAAATTAAAATGTGCTATTTATTACTTCCTAGACAAATAAAATAGTGAGATGAACAATTTACAAATAGTAGAAAAAGTCAGAAGCTCTTTGTCAAGTATGGCAATGTATCATATATCCATTATAGAAAGCATGACTACACAACAGAAATATGGTGATGAGAGATGGTGGTCTGATCAATGTGAATGGGTTTGGCGTAAAGGATCTAGAGCCACAGGTCCTCTGCTAAAGAATCTTATCATTCCTTTATGACTGTGAGCATATCATTATGTGGTATGTGGGATAATTGCTGGAAGATGGTTCCCCAGTGATCTCTCAAAGTACTTATCAAAGCTTGGGGAAGTTGAGGCCTCTCACGTGAGGGGAGGACATAGAGGGGTGTATGTGTGTGCGTGTGTGTGCACACATGAGTTTGGAAAACAGATACCAAAAATGTAATGTATTCAAAGCTGCCTTGAATGCAATGTGTGGAACATCAGATTGAAATGTAATGTTGAGCTTCGTCCTGGGCTAGGATCCAAATACATCCAATAGAATCACTAGCCCAGGAAGTAACAAGCCAATCACTTCAAGCAAGCTCCCTGAGCGGGAATGAATGTGATTGGACATTATCTCGGTAACCTTATAGGATGATATGTGTACAGTGGGTGTGGCTATATTAGCCGGGAATGTTTAAAAGCAGGACAGCTGCAATGTGAAAGCTGTTCTGGCTATCAGATGTTGATCCGTGTTGGAGTTGTGTTCAAGTTGAAGAATAAAGTTGTGTTCTTGCTGAATCACTCTCTGACTGCTTTGTTAAGCGAGTGACTTAACAATAGAGACAATTATGAGATGGTTGATGCACTTTGGGGCACAGGACCTCCTGATGGCACCTGGTATTTTCGGCCACTGTGTGACAGAGTGTTGGACTGGATGGGCCATTGGCCTGATCCAACACTGGCTTCTCTTACGTTCCTCTCTCTCTCAGCATCTAATGTGGTATAGTAGATTTTCTGCCCAGTAGAAATGATTCCTTGTCTTCTGTACTGTTTCTATATTGGGGGGGGGTATATACCTACACAGACATTTTCCCAGAATTACAACTGATATCCAGACTAAAGCGATCAGTTTCCCTGGAAAAAAATGGCTGCTTTGGGAGGTGGACCCTGTGATATTACATCCCCCTGAGGTTCCTCCTGTCCACAAACTCCACTCTCCCTGGGCTTAACTCCCAAATCTCCAGGAATTTTTCCACCTGAAGTAAGGCAACCTTAGCTGCTATACGTTTTCCCCCAGAAAAGTGCTCCCATGCTAGGACTTGTTTTGGTCAGCCTTGAACCTACCAACTTTATTGAGGTCACATAACCTTGGCTGGCAGGGATCCGGGTCGCAGTCCAGAGGCCTGAGGAGAGGAAAGTAGGTGGGCCTAAGGCCTGTGCCTGCCCACAGCAGCCAGTCTAGTATTCCATGATGTCATTAGTGAGCACCAGGTATGGATGAAGGTCCTGGGAAAGAACGGGCCAAGCTATGCATGAGTGATTGGCCTGGTCCCTGACATACCCCAGCCTCAGGACAGAAGCTGGGGAGAGGAGGTGTCTTGGGCAGCAGATGGACTAGGGGTAGGGAGAAGCCCACAGACAGCTGGAGTTGTGACTGCATGCACTGGTAGGTAAGTACTGGCACCTTTTTTTAACAAAAAGCACTGCTAAATTTATACCTGTTACACTCCTAGGCTATACCCCTAGGTTAATTGGGACTGAAAGTCTTTTAGAGAAGGAATTGATATACAAAACATTCTTCCTGCATGTAGTCTGCTTGAAGTTACAGACATTTTTAGCCTCGGTATTGACACAGCATGCTTAACACTGGTTTAATATTTATTCCTGCTCCTTGGAGATTTGTGGGAAGTATAATTCTTTTAAAGGGAGGGGTCTTGAGAATCTTATAAGAGAAAAATGAAATGATTAAAAGAAGTACACTCCAAGGCATGCTCAACAATCTAGTGTAACAAGAGGAGAATCCAGGAATATTGTGGCTCACATTCCAATTTTGACACTAGGAATCAAACTAAAAAGAGTGGGGTGAGGACTAGTTTTGATTTTTGCTGCTGTCAAGGGAGAACAATGTGCCAGATTATTCATTTTAAATAAATACAAGATGCCCAATTAAGGAAAGCAGCATTAAAACACATGCCTATGATAATCAGAGAATACTTTGCTTCTGATTTCACTACTGATTTGAAAAGGGGACTGTTCTATTTTCCCACAGCACTGCACTGACCCCACGCATACTTCTGTGAGCTAGTAATCACAAAGGATGTATAAAAGGACACTTTTACTGGAACATTCACAGCATGGGACAATAATCCATCACTTATGAAAAAAAATAAAATTCACAATTTAATGGTAGCATTCTTAGGATGATATATCATAGAATACAGAGATTAGTGTTCAATTAATAGCTGGCTCTTTTGTTCATGTTCTATTTTAGAACACTTGGGTTCAAATGGGAACAACCCTTGGCAGTTGTCTCCTAAAATTCCAAGGCACTCAGCCCTACTGTAAAAAGAGAAACAACCATTACTGAGACTATAAGTTTGCTGGCACATTGAAAAAGAGAAGCAATACCCAAAATGTTGTGTTCTCTTTGCTTCCCTTTCTATACACTCACACATCCACAGATATTTCAATACAGACAGTTCTGGATTTAAATGAAGTACACATACATCTCCCATTAAAATCAATGGGACTTTGATGAGCTTAACTTTGTCTGGGTATTGCCTGTAGGTCTTTGCTCGAAGCTTCTGCTCGAGCAATTTTACCACTTCATATCCACCAGATGTTATTCAGTTAATAACAGCTAACTTACTGGCATCCTCACACTGAGATCAATATAAAAGTTGCATATTTGCTCCAAATATGACATGTTTAAAGTACAATATTGAATATCCATGTAACAATGCCAAGTTTTTTAAAAGGGCCCTTTCTAAGTCTTTGGTGACTGAGGGAGAAGATCAGTGTTTTGGCTGGCATCCTGACCTCTCAGCAACTGAAATTTACTAACAGAGCAATTTTAGACAGAGTTATAACCTCATAAATCCGTTGATTTCAATGGATTTAGAAGGGTAAGGTATAGATTTCTTTATGGATCAGACATTAGAAAACTAGATATTTGTACAATTTAAAAAAATAAGAGTGTACTGATCAGGGGTCATTTCCTGCAGGAGCTCACAGGAGTGGAGCTCCGGCAGTAAAGAGCCCAGGGGACGGGCACATGCAACAAGCCCCACCCCCTGCTCCAAGCAGCCCTCAGTCAGAGCAAGAAGCAGCCAGGTAAGCTGCAGAGCCCCCCCCCCCCCCTCCCACAACAACCCGCCGTTATTCAGGTACAAGCTCTCCCTCCTCTGCGAGGACAGATCTGCACATCCCGCCCCCCCCATAGCTAGGAATCCAGAATAGTCCAGTGGAGCCTGAGTGGTGGGTGTTGCCTTCTGACACACTTCCGGTGATGTCAGGGGGTGTGGCATATGCAAATAAGTTATGCTAATGAGTTATGCTAATGAGCTCCTGCACCTCTTTTTCTACGAAATGACCCCTGGTACTGATAAATTCGACCTATCGCAGATTCTAGAGATTTGTGACAGAATGACATTAAATATGTGATGGGACAATGAGGCATGATCCTAGAAACCAACAATGACACTTGTGTTGTCTGAAAATATGTAACTTAGACCAACAGGGATATTCTGTAGGGTTGCCAACCTCCAGGTGGAACCTCAGGATCAATTGTTATCAATGTTAGGATCAATTCTACCCCTGGAGAAAATGGTT